ATTCCCAGCAAGTCTGCCATTTCAGGCCGCTCCTGTGTTGCTGGGGGAGATGCAGCAGAAGGATTTGTTACAGAGTGGCGAGAAAGATATCACAGTTGAGGCTATTCTTGCTCCAACAGGTGGTTCCCCTAATGATCCAGATGATTCGGACGCTGAGGAAGAGGTGTTGTGTCGTGCTTTGGAACTAGATGCTTCAATGCTAACAGCAGGCTCGAAAAACTGCTTAGGAAGCATTGAATTTAGAAAGCGGCCAGCGCAGCACCAGATCTAAAATGTACCTGGTAGTTTTCTTATCAAACTTGGTTCAATTGTTACCTGAAACTGCAAATTTTCTTCTCCTAATAAGAGGGGAACCGCCTTCAGAGATATTTTGCGCTATCGCACAATACTCTCTTAAAAGGGTACCCTTACTGTACCCGGTAGACAATCTACCGGTACTGCCTATCAGCCGACCGTCTCTACCAGCAGCTTTTATTTATTGCTCTGCCGTGCGTATGGAATTCATTGAAAGTAACGGTTTGGAGGGAATATGATGTACCTGTGTCATAAAACTGCTCAGTATAATAACATTAAATCCAAATTTATTCAAGCAAAGTAAGAAATTGTGTGACGCCTATGATTGTTTCGCGCCCTCAGGGTTCGCATCCATCTTATCCAACTTTTCATTCAAGTCATCGCCACCAAGATTTTCTTCTTCCAAAATCTCCTTTAGCTCCGACTTTGCCTTCTTCAGCATCGCCTGTTTTTTGCGCTCTTGCTTTGCTTTAAAATCTTCAAGTTCCGCGTCAGCATCCGTTGCTTCACCGTTTATCTGGCGGTACACCAAATCGCCTTCAAACATGGCACGCTCCCAGACAGATTCCAGAAAGCTCTCCTCGGATAGCTCAGCGTCGACAGTGCCGGCCATCATTTGCCTGAAATATTCCCGCTTCGCCCATTCTCTTGCAATCTTCTCGACTTCTTCAACCCTAGAGTCTTTTATCTTTTGATTCTCATCAGCAGAGCGCAGAGCTGACTTTCGAACTGACTTCTGGAATTTCTCCTCTTCCCACCAAACATCCGACGTGTACCCTTTTTCATAATCTGGATTTTTCTCCATGAAGTCGGCTATTGCTTTCTTGTAGTTCTATGCCCAATGAATCACTTTGTCAGACTGCTGAAACATAGCATATTGAATTTATAGACGGCAGACTTACGCTCACTCCATCACGAAGCATATGATCGACTTCTTGGGGACGAGCATATCCAGCTTCGCGTAATCCCTTAATGAGCTTTGCTTCGGTTGCGTTTACATTAGTAACTTTCGAAAATGACAACGCCTTATTCACTCCAGCCTCAAGCTGAAGGCATTCAGTTATCATTCTCATTGCTTCGTCCCTTGAGAAAGTTGCATCTTCCGCAACCATGCTTTCGCTTGATCCCATTTCATAGAAACTGTATGGATCCGTGCCCTCGGGAAAATCCTGCAGTTCACCAACAGCAACCATCGTGAACTTTGCACCGCATCCCTTCAGTGATTCTACAATTTGCTTCTCATCGGAGGAATCGATATTTGCCGCATTTGCAGCGAGAATGGCAATATTTTTCACAGTGCCTGTCTGTTTGATGACCGCAGTCACGTCGCTAACAGTGTTGACCAAGTCGTCAGCATCCAAAACTGCAACCCAACTCTTCACGCCTTCCAATTGTGCAGGAGATGGCAACCCTCCGGGAACACTGGCCTCTACAAAATCAAGTTTATCAAGTAGTCCACTGTACCGAGCAGAGCGACTCAAAAGACGCTTTTTGGCAAATGCGATGTCGTCCACGAATGCTATAATAGTCTCAAATTCGAATGCAGACTCTCCGTTGTTAAGAAGGTCGAAGATCACTTGGTCTGTTCTTTCCTTTGACCTGACCAACCCGGATACGAGAACTGTTCCATCGATGTTACTGCGTGCTTCAACCGCTTCAGGAGTCTTCAAATACGCCTGGACGTTATCTGCCGGGCTTTTGTTGGCGTCATCCGACAAACTGGAGGGGGTACTCTTGGTTCCCCAGGAGGAAATATGCAAAGCGCTGCTTTGACGCGTGTCTCTGTTGGGAGATACACCGAAAGCTGATGCTGGCGAAAACGCACATTCTGTTCCTGCGAGCAGCGCTGCTTGTAAGATTGGCAACAGTCTCATGGTCTGGTACTTTGTTAAGTTGAGAATTATCTTTTGTCTAAGATCTCAAAAGAATCGGAAAAAGAAAACCAGATGTTGCCACGTCAGCAAAATTCGAGTCCATGAGATCGACGACATGCAGTATGGTGTGGTATGGACGGTGACGCGCCTTGAAACGGTGGGGGGATACTTGTATTAATAGTACCTGGTACTTCTGTAGTAAATGGTACCGGTACTGTACAGTACTCTAGGCACCCGTATCAGTAGGCACCCGTACCGGTAGAGACAATATTTTGCAAGGCAGCTACAGTTGCTACTAATCAGTTACATAATAAAGTCAACTGAACAGTCATGCTGTAGTGCAGACACGGAATATCTAGAGTTGCAAAGGTAGTTCGCTTTGATCGAGGCAGGCTCATGGGAGATTTTAATTTTGCCTATTTTCTCTCCATGATGAGCTCTTCTTCATTTTGAGTGATGGATATCCACGATTTTGCTCCAAACTTCACTAGAACCGAAGCCTTCCTACTTGTTTCGGGCGCCATCCGCGTTTTGTCCCTGGCGATACTCCTCATGGATCATTTCTCGAATTTCCATGGTCTTTCTTCGTACGCGTGCTGCCACTTCTTCCAAGTCCCCACCTTCTTTATCCAGAATATCAAGGACTTCATTTCTCTCTTCTTGAATTGTATTCAGTATGGCATTGACTTCTTCTTGCGTGTGGTTCTTCTTTAGTTGATCAACAGCACGGTCAAAAGCCTCTTCCCACGCAGTTGTGTTGCCTTGTTGACTGAAATTTGGTTGGTTCCCCTGTGTCATTCCACCGCCAAGAGAATTTGTTGTTTTCGCCGTAACGGCCTTTTGAAAGAGACTCTTGGGAAGTATTCGTTGTAGCATGAACCTTTCTGCGTATTCAATGAAAGGTGATATCATGTAGTTTGGCATAAACGCTGCACTACCAGCAATTTGAGTGTTTGCGTGGTTCTTGTCCACGATTCCTTCTATGATGCCGCAAACAAGACCGTCTTCATCTAAAACCGGGCCACCGCATAAGCCTTCTGGCAATGGTTTTTCTGTTTCTGCAAAGAATCGATCCTGGGTATGATACGCAAGCCTCCCTTTTTCTTGGTACGGGAAGAAAACACGAGCGTCTTCATTCTTAGCGGTGCTACTCGTCTCGTCGACAACATCATTGGCCAATTCGTCATAATCTGCCATATTTTGCTCTGCAACCACATATCCATCAAATGCAACCTCATCGCCTTTGTTGTAGACTGAGTCAAGGTCACGCATATTGTGAATTTTCACGCCAAGTTGTTTCATTATCTTCAAACTTTCTTCTTCTTGTTGCAGGTGAATAAAAGCAATATCTCGCCCTTCAGGATGATGTATCGGATACGGATTCAACGCAAATTTGCCTAGTGCCTCGCCGGGAGACTCCGTATCGTAGACTTCAAGTGAATATGCGCTAGAACAGAGGTTTCATCATTTTATGATAAGATGGAAGAATGTGCAGCCTGATGACGGAAAATGTTGACTCACCAGTGCTCTTGTTTCACTTTGCTCAACCAATCTTGCGGATAATAATCTTTCCACAAGAATGGTGCAAGGACGTGACTCGAGCAAACAAAATGAACTGTGGGACGAACTTCTTGTGGAGCAAACTCTAGCCATCCAAGGTCCTTCAGTTCACGATTAGCCGGTCCTACTGCAGGAGAATACTTGTGATCTTGTTTGTGAAGCTTAAGACGCCTTTCGCGTTCGCTCTTTCCCAAATGCCCGTAGGGCCCCTCAGAGTTTGAAAGATCTGGAGGATCCACTGCTAGCAAGAAACCTGATGCTCGACTCAATATTTCATATTCCCTCATGCCAAAATCTGGTTGCTTGAAGTGGACACTAAGTGCGAGCGACTGAAGGTGGCGACGATTCTGTGCGGATTTAAACAATATATTACTGACTCGCATCTTTGGTTTTTGTTGAGCATTTCTATGTTTGTTTGATGTGTTGGGTATTTTTTATTTAAAAAAGACCGAAAGACCGCCAGACGTAGGACTAATTTTCATTTCGGATGCCGGTATCGTACCGCAATGACTACTGGACCGTGTTGTGGCTTCTAGTGGAATGTAAACCAACACAAAATTGGAGCATGAGCGACAATACAGTAGATAAAAATAGAGATTTTCAGGAAAAAACTGAGGAGTTCAATTGGTCAGCTTTTTACGATGATGAAGGAAGAATATACTACTACAACGAGAAGAGTGGAGAAAGTTCATGGGATGCGCCTGCACGTTTCAACCCGCCTCCGAACGATGCTGCAGAGCAATCATCTGTAAAGGACGTGGACTCCACCGCTGAGGATAACGCGGCTGATGCGTCGAAGGATCCAGATAAAAATAATTGGGTGCTGTACCATGACGATGAGGGGCGCGAGTATTTTTTCAACACCTTGACAGAAGAAACGACTTGGGAAAAGCCAGTTGAATTCGAGAAACGAAGTGAGAAGTCTCCTGATGAAGCTTCAACGGTAACAGCAAAAAGTCCAGAACAAGAATATTCAGACCGTATCTCTGAGAATATCGAAGATGATGATTCTTTGCAGAGAATTCCTGCGAAGGAACATATGGTAGATGACATGCAAGTGGAGGAAAAACAAACAGAGCCAGAGGTTATAGTTGACCAGTTGGAGGTTGCGGAGCAGGCTTTGAAGCTCCCAGATGCTATTCTAGAACCAGGTGTTATGACTCATTTGACCGAAATTGTTTCAAGAGATGATGGGAACCCAGAACGTGCAATTCAAGCGCTCAGCAAGAGTTATAATGGTACAACAGCTGTTTGTGGTTTGCTCAGTCGGTGGCTGGCAGATCTGAAGTCTCTATCGGCGGTTGCCGATGTCGTTGACACAGAGAAACGTCGGGAGAGGCAATCCAAAGCATTTCGAAAGTCAACTGATGATATTCGGGAAATGGCACAAGCTGTCATTTTTAGAATCTCGAGAGAGAAATTCACAAACGGAGGGGGTGATAACATTCTGAACTTGCACAAGGCTGAAGTTGCTTTCTTGGAAAAAATGATGGATTCGAAACGATGGAGGGGTTTACTGATTGATTTGAGCGCCTCGAACAAAGATAGTGCAATGCTACGATACTGCTTAAGAGCAATATCGAAGAGAGGTCACCACCGCGAAATTGCCAATCGGATTGATCAGTCTGATCATTTTGCAGTCTTTGATGCAATGCTTGCTTCTGAGGTAGCAGCTGTCGGGAAAATTGCGGTGTCCTTGTGTCAAGAGCAGGATAGCACTATTCATTTGGACGAGCTTGTCAGTGGTCTCCGTCGGACATGTACCTCGACCGCATATACGTACATTTTTACATTGGAGGTAAGGATCGCGTGAGATGAATAATCAGTTTTTGAAATCCCAATCTAATACCACAGTAATGAAACTGCAATAAAGGTATTGGATCATCTTGTAACCGTCGCGAGAAGGAAAGCTGTTGGGCTTCATGGCAAAGAGTACCGAGTTTTTCTGCGAGCAATTCGTAAGTGGGAAAGGCTTGGTGATGACTTGAAGAGTAGTATGATAGACCCAGCCTCTACGAATGCGACTCCATTGTTCCGCAAGAGGAGACTCGATGTTGCTATGACGATCAGTGAGCTGCATCAACGACAGCGGAGACGAACTTTACCTGATGGTAACAATATCACTGGGAGACGTCCTGTTGATGAAGTGGAGGCGAAACGAGAAAATGCTGTACACTCATTTCTGCGCCAGTATTCTCTCAGTACTCGTGTTGACGATAGTTTTTTGGACTCAATATTAGAAAGCGGATCGACTGAACTGTCAGCCAATTCTTCAGGTGCTCTTCTGGTGAAACGTCCAATATCGGTAAAGGCATTGCTTGGATATCTCTACAAACCTGGAGGCCAAAGAGTGGGTTCTGTTGTGACGAAGAAAAAATGGTAAGAAAATCGTAGCAAGTCTCCTGCCACAAAACTCGATGTATCTAGTTCCAATGCTAAAGGCTCAACTCGCTTGCAGTGCAATGATAATTGCACATTCAGCTATAGCCGCAGAAAACGAAATTACTTCTGCGAGTAATGAGCAGAGTGAGGAAACAATTCAAGTAACCGACAAAGTCGCGCTCACGCGAAACCTTGTTGACGGCAGTAATCTATGCCAAGAGCTGGAGAACATGGTCTCGTTCATTGTGACACAAAATGCAACAAAAAAAGCACAACAGAGTTCAGGCGAACGACTTGTCGTTCTGGCTACAGGTAGCTCACTCGTTGCTCATGGTGTCGCCATGTGGGCACGCAACATGGTCAAAGGCAATGATTTCGTATCTTCTGGGACCTACGCAACTGTCTCCCCCAGTATCCTGTCCTTGGTTCGAGTTTTGTATACAATTCATAAATCTCTTCGAGATGATTCACTCGAGGTCGCTTTCAGTTTCTTGTCTCATTCAAATACTGATTCAGACGTTTCATACCAAAAGTTGAACGAAATAAAGGAACAGAGCCTTCGTCTGCTACTTGTTCTATCTGTCGCCGGAGAATCGCCCACAGCTCTCTTGAGAATGACCCAACTATTGGAAGAATCGGGCAGTTCAGCACTTGACTCCTCACTGATTCGATACTTTGTTTCTGGTCTTCTGAGTGTGATTCAGGGACCTTTCTCTATCCCCTTTATGCGTACCCTTGCAGCCTTTCTGAAGGTACCATCATGTGTTGACGCTCTCAAAACATCATACTTCGAGGCAACGGAGCAAGCGAAGCTATCAGTTGTTATGAATGTGTTCAGGCAAGAACTCGACAGCAAGACAGCGGTATTGAATCCTGAGGATATCGAACTTTTTCTGTCCTTGCTCTCCAATTACGCTACCACCAGAACAGAATAATCTTAGTAAGAATACGAGCACAATAGTTTGAACCTACTGTACCAACCCCTTTCTGTTGAACTGAAAAGCCTGAAAGTGAGTCTGACAAATGTATTCTATGAATAGAGATAGTATATTCCAATTGTTACGTATCAAACAGCTGATTCTCCTGTAGTGAAGTGGTTATCACTCTTGACTTTGAATCAAGCATCCCAAGTTCGAATCTTGGCAGGAGAATTCCTTTTGGCGAGACCACCGTTTGTAGCTATCGCAGCAATAAATTTATTGGTTCACGCGTTTTGATATCTGCTTGGCGGGACCCTCTCGTCTGTCTGTCGTCCATTATGTTTTGCAGTCAAATTTAGGGGCCCAAGTTCTACTTTTGGGTCGAATCGAAACAAACCAGTTCGAAACACGACAACAGATTCCGAAACGCGACAACAGAATTTGAAAGACGACAAACCAATTCGAAAGACGACAAACTCGAATGAAACACGACAAATCAATTTGAAACACGACAAACT